GGATCATATCATCAGCAAAGAGGGATAACTTGACTTCCTCTTTTCCTATTTGGATACCCCTGAATTCCTTCTCTTGTCTAATTGCCCTAGCTAGGACTTCCAACACAATGCTGAACAAGAGGGGTGGGAGTGGGCAGCCTTGTCTTGTTCCAGTTTTCAGGGGAAATGTTTCCAGTTTCTGTTCATTTAGCAATATGTTATCTGTGGGTTTGTCGTAGATGGCACTATTTTGAGGTATGTTCCTTCTATACCTAGGTGCTTTAGGGTTTTTATCAAGAAGGGACGCTGGATTTTATCAAAAGCTTTTAGTGGGAAACTGTCGGGGGGGAGAGGTGGGATTGGCAACTGAAGGAACTATTAGGGAAGGGAGGGGCATACCTCATCAACAAGGGTACCTGCATAATCAACATCTGTATACATAATAAAAAGAAAAAGAAAAAGAAATGCTATTACATTTTCCTTTGGACTGAAACTACAAGTAATTTCTATCTTTGTTGTAAATTTTCTGGGTGTCTATCACACAGAGATAGCACTTTTAAAATCAGTGGGCAAGTTAACAGTTTTATTACTTTAAAAAAATCATACAATTCATTTTTTGTTCTGTTGAGTTAACCTGTTTGATTATGCAATAGTGCACCCAGTATTCTCTTATCAGAAAATGCACTCTTATCAGTAAAAACTGAGCACTATTCTGAGACACAGCCTTAAAACTGTTTTTAAAAGATAAGTTTTCTCTCTACCTTCTCTCCATTTCTATGGACAATGGACATATGCAGTAAGTGTTCCACAGTTTATTGAATTGTTTCAGTATATACTGAACAATTTACTGATGCCACATTTATTGAGTTATTGCCCTTCTATATTGCCAAAATTGGGTCCCTAACTGTAAAGAATACATTCCAAAAATAAAAATAATAAAAGACAAACCAGGACACATATACCATTGTGACCACCATATTTTTGGTTTACATTAGTCACCTCAGATTACTCTAATAACTTCTTTGCTGGTCTTCTAGTCTCCAGTGAAACCCACCCCACTTTCATTATAGTTATTTTTCTAAAAGTTAAATTGAGTTCTGCTGTACCCTTGCTTAATAATTACTATCTTCATGATAAATTTTAAACACCTTTAGATGGAACATAAGAGGCTTTAAGATCTGAGCCCATTCCACACCTCCAGCCTCGGCTTTTATAAAGTCTCCTCAAGATGTCATACACTCCAGCTGCAATGAACTGTTACATAAAATATCCAAAATACCCCATACCCTATCTTCTTCCTGGGAGTATGCTAAGCTGGTCTTCTCTTCTTGGCAGCTAACTTCTTGGTCCTTAAACTTCAGTACAGATGTCAAGCCTTCTCTAACCACCAAAGTTGAATTAGGAATTCCTCCTCTTGATGTACTCATTCCTGTTCTTAAATCACATTATTATTGGTTGATTTCTCCCACTGTCTAATAAAAGATCACTGAGAACAAAGGTTCTGACTTTTTGGGGGGGCTTAAACAACAGACATTTATTTCCAATAATTATGGAGGCTAGGAAGTCCAAGGACAAGCTACTGACAAATTTGGTTCTGATGAAGGGACTCTTCTCAGCTTGCAGACAGCTGTATTGTGGCTGTGTCCTTATGCGGTTGAGAGAGCCATTTTTGTGTAACCAGAATCTAAGAGGACTTTGCACATAATGGGCATTCAAGACATGCCTGCTGAGCACCTATAACTTTAATCTAGGGTATCTTTCTACTCAGCATAACTTTGCAAAGTTTTTCCCATCCCCAGAACATCTATTTGTGAGACACCTATTTTCTTTTTTTTTTTTTGAGTTGGAGTCTCACTCTGTCACCCAGACTGGAGTGCAGTGGCTGCTCCCGGCCACCGCAG